AATATGTGGAAATGTTGATTTATTGGCGGTAAACGCAACGGGTTACTGCGCCTGACATCGTCCTTTGGTTGTTTATCATTAGTGAATATCAAAAATATTATCACTGTGATGTTGAAAGTGTTATTTTTTTAATTTTTTTTTTTGTTTTGTAGACATTTTATTACTAAAATTCATTTAAATTGTGTTTTGAATAAAATTATTAAAAATTATTCATTTATACAATATATTCCAGAGCTATAAAAACGTTGATAAACTTAAAAAAGTGGTTAAAAATATTAATTTTAAATACCAATATTTGAATTAAAAAAGCAATAATTGCTTGTGTACATAAATTAATTGCATAAAAATATTATAATATTTTTGATAACATGCAGAATTTTCAATAAGGACCAGTGTCAGATGTCATAGCTTCGAACTCAAATGGACACTCAAGTAATTGGAAGTCTCATCTTCTACAAGCCAGAGACAACTTTCGTTACCTTACGCAGATCAAGATTGTACCTCAAGTTAAGATGTCCTAAATAATTACCTAAATTAATTACAAATAATAAATCTACAAACAGAATAGTATTGAAATTTAAAAATTAAAAATAAAAAAAATATAATAAATTAATTTAATTATTCTACAGCTGGTTTATAATTTCGTTCTAATATAAATATAGCAAGTGAATTGATAAAAAAACTTTCACAACAAATTATTAAAACTCAAGGAAAATGTGCGAATATTAAAGTCAATTACTTTTGGTCAATTGGTTAAGGTGTGCTGACTCTGAGTTTTAAATTTGACAGGGCACGAGTTCGATTCCTGTTACTAGCAGTCTCAAAAAATTATTTACCAATAATTAAATACAAAAATTATTTCCAAAACCATTGATGATGGGTATTAGGCAATACTCGAAACAGCTATATGGTCAGCCAAAAATTCAACTAATTAAAATAATAAAAATAGAATTTTTGTTGTTGTAATTCACTACTTTTCGAAAACCTCTTTATAATTACCTTAGAAAGAAGAAACTTCTGAAATAAAATAATGCCCGTCATATGATTAGAGACAAATATATTTTGAATTCCGATATCTGATCGAATTGAACTAAATTGTTCAATTCGCAGACCTATAATAATAAATAAATGAATTATTACTAATTATTAGTAAATGTTATTTAAATGTATATAAATTATTCTGCTATCTAAATCTACTTGTAATGTCTATTAAAATCGAATTAAAATTGTATTAAATATAACAATACATACATTATACATATATTACAATATACATACAAATTGAACTTATAGATATGAATAAAACTTTAGTTACTCAATTTTATTTAAATAATTAAGTTGTTATGTGTCAGTAAATACAATAATAATTAAAATATTTACAATTACATTTAACATAACGTAGTCTTCATATATATCATAAATATTTTAAGAGCATTAATTTTAAATGTAATTTAGTATTACTAAGTTCAATCAGCTGCAATGATTTCTAAAGGTTTCATTTATTTTATATCACTCAGTTTTCAATTACTGGGAATTACTCTAGCTGCAGTAAGTAAAAACTATATTCAATTTTGAGATATATATTGCAATAGAAACACAATTTTTAGAAAGTTAGTAGGGTGAATATAGAGGAAGCCTTCCTAATTTTGCATGATAAAACTGCATTAAACGTCGCTAATTTATCGCTGATTGACTACAACGGATTTAATGCGCTACATTTTGAATTCGAGTTTAGTAGACCAAGTGCGGACTTTCATATAGATATGAGTGCCAGCTTACCACGTGGTTATAAGACCTCAGCACAGGTTATTGATTCTCATATGTACGGTTGTGACCTATTAAAGCTTCGAAATGCTAACGGTCAGAAAATTTTTGAAATTCTTACAACTGGAATAATAAGAGGCAATTCTGTTCTTCCGAAACAATGTCCAATTCCGGCGGTAAAAACATTGACATTTAAATTTATTCTTTAATAAAATATTTATTTTTTTTCCTAGAACAAACTTTTCGTTATTGATCGTTATCAAATACATGACTGCTTATTCCCTAGACTGTTTCCGAGGATGACAATTCATTCAAATTGTACTTGGCTTGTGAAAAAGAAGAAACTTTTTACAGTTGGTGTGACTTTGAATTTTATTTAATTATTTGATGGAGGTTTAATTATTCAAATTTTGAATACTATTAAATAATGAATTAAATTCAATAGTTTAGCATTTTTAAACGCTGCAAAGCACGCAAGATGCTTTAAAGTAAATAACACGCCTTAAAGTATGTAACAAAATATATTTCCATTTAAATTTTTGTGCTTTTCAAATTAAAATTAAGCAAAATATTTGATTTCTGAAATTTTTGTTTTTACTTATTGTTGGATTATAAACTTTTTCTATAAATTATAGTTTTCATTATTATTGGTATAATATATTTTTGTTTTAAAAGTACACTTATTGGTTTTTGTATTGATACATTTATAGATTAAATATTAAATTCTACTAAAAAATCTAAATTTTTAGAATTTGATATATATTTTTAAAAAGATTTATTCAACGTTTGATCAAAATGTAAAAGCAATCAATTAGACAATGTTGTAAGGAATTTATGGCACTACACACAATATTTAACATATTTGAATTTTAAGGTACATAAAATTCACTTAACCCAAGAACTTAAACGAAATCAGGCAGCGCGACTTTAAAAATCTATTATGTTCCTATATGGATTCAGTGCGTCTCTAAGTCCAATTTCATTAATAAATTGCAGTATTGATCGTACTTCCTTCCAGCATATGTTGGATACTCTCTTTTTTTATGCTACAAGTTATGAGTATAATTTTAGGCGATTAAAATTATCGTCTAAATGTGATGGTCAAATGATAACAGACAAAAATGTTTTGAGTTTTGATGTCTGATCGAATTGAACTAAATTGTTCAATTCACAAAACTATGATAATAAATAAATGTACTATTACTAATGATAAGTAAATGTCACTTAAGTGTATTTAAATTATTCTGCTATCTAAATCAAGAAATAACATCTATTAAAATCGAATTAAAATTGTATCAACGTATGACAAAAATACGTTTTTAATTATAACTAATTTTAAGTTGCTAAATTCTGTTTAAATTGAGTAACTATAACCATAACTTAAATAATTATATTCACAATAATTTCTAACGAATTTATTATGCCCAGTAAATACAATAATAATTAAAATATTTGTAATTATATTTAACATAATTAAGTCTTTATATTGAACATAAGTATTTAGAGAGCATTAATTTATAATATAATTCAGTATTATTAAGTTCAATCAGCTGCAATGATTACTAAAAGTTGTACGTATTTTATATTACTAAGTTTTCAAATACTGGGAATTACTCTAGCTGCAGTAAGTAAAAACTATATTTGATTTTGAGATATATATTGCAATAGAAACACAATTCTTAGAAAGTTAGCAGAGTAAATATAGAGGAAGCCTCCCTAATTTTGCATGATAAAACTGCATTAAACGTCGCTAATTTATCGTTGATTGATTATAATGGATTTAATGCGCTACATTTCGAATTTGAGTTCAGTAGACCAAGCGAGGACTTTCATATAGATATGAGTGCCAATGTACCACGTGGTTATAAAACATCAGCACAGGTTATTGATTCCCATATGTATGGTTGTGACCTATTAAAACACCGAAATGCTAACGGCCAGAAAATATTTGAAATTCTTACAACTGGAATAAAACGAGGCAATTCTGTTCTTCCGAAACAATGTCCAATTCCGGCGGTAAAAACGTTGATATTTGAATGTGTTCTCCAATAAAATACTAATTTTCTTTCCTAGAATAAACTTTTCATTATTGATCGCTATCAAATACATGACTGCTTATTCCCTAGACTGTTTCCGAGGATGACAATTCTTTCAAATTGTACCTGGGTTGTAAAAAAGAAGAAACTTTTTACTGTTGGTGTCACTTTAAATTTTATTTAAATTATTTGGTCGTAGTTTAATTATTAAAATTTTGGATAAAATTAAGGAATGAATTATATTTAACACTTCAGAATTTTTAAACTAAATAGAGTAAGTAACAAAATATGTGTTATATGAATTCTTTTAAATAAAAACTCAGTAAAATATTCGATTTTTTTTAAATTTTTATTTCTGCTTATTGTTGGATTATAAACTTTTTCTATAAAATTAAATTTTTACTACTAAAACTAATATACGCTTTTGATTTAAAAGTGTACGTATTTGTTTTGTGTTGATTTCAATGTTCGTTAATCGTTCAATGTTCGATTCGTTTGTAATGAAGTTCTCTTAATTTCATCTTCATTTCCTTAATTTATTAATTATATAGCATAATATTAGTAATACAATTAGTAGTGCTTTTTCTGGTTATTATTTCTCATTTTCTTATTAACAAATATCACATAGATATCTACTTTACAGTACAGTATACGTATTTCTTGATAATTATAGGAGGACACTGATATATTTAAATTCTATTACATATTATATGAAAATTTCACTTTCAATCTTCTAATCTTTATAATGGTTTGGAAGTCGTTTCAATTACTTTTTGATATCTGAATGTTTTAGTATAATTCATGAAAAAAAGTAAAATACTGAAATGACAATCATTTGTTCCTACATTTATATTTTTATGGTATTTAGTTGCAGTGGTGGGCATTTAAACTTTAACAAATGATATCTTAAACTGTATACAAGATTTCTGAAATGTTTCCTTCAAAATTTCATAACTTAAATTTACTTAAAATACTTATTAAAATATAGGTAACTATTTAAAATAGTAACATTTAAGCTACATATAATTTGAATACTTGTTTGTTTGCATGAGGTTAGTCAAATAAATAAAAATTAAAGTAACAAAAAATTTTGTTAAAAACTCATTTAAAATGTTTTAAGAAATTGAGATCCTCGACTACAAATGAAAAAATAAAAATAATTTAAAAAAAGATTATTTAAAGTAACATAAACTAGTGTAAAATAAAATGATAGCCAAATAAGCAAGGCAAAATAATGTTTTCAAAACGCAGTTTATACGAAATATTTGGCAAAACTAAAAAACATTTTCCTTTCCAAAGACTCACTTAACTACTTAGGCATGAACCTTATGAACTTAAATTTAAATTAAATAATACAAATTCCTATGCTAAAACCAGCAGCACATCAAATAGCTATAAAACAATATTAATATTAGTTATTTATTTAAACATTGATTTTCTTGATGTTGGATGATGTTTTGTTGAAGTTGTCATCGAAGTGTGAAACTGGCCTGTAGCAGCGTTGCTTAGCACGTAAATTGAAATTCCAAATCCCCAAAAACACTGCAAGTAATGTCAAGAAACCGATAATAGCATAGAGGTATGCATTTTCGTGTGTCTGATGCACCACTTCAACAATTTCTGGGTAGATTTGTATAGTTGCGGCTTCATTTTGCCGTGCACAAGGTGGAGTAGCAACATTACCGGCACCAAAAGATGTACCATTTGCTGTTGAATTTTTGGAGATATTTTCTGGTTCCTCATTATCAAAAATAATGTTGGGTAAAGTATCAAATTCATTTCCTGCATTACTCTCTGTAGGTTGTGGTAATGTTTCATCAGATTCATGGTATACATTACTGCCAGATTCACCTTCTGTATCTGGTTCTGTATCATCTTCTTCGTAGTCTTCATCACCATTTGGCATGGGTATACCTTTCGGCCAACAAATTGGACAACAGCTATCCTTTATCAGCACTTGTCTATATGTTGGACAATTTACACTTCTACAGAAAGGCATAACGCACTTCTCTTCACCGTGCACACATTCACATTCATAACAACCATCTTTCCAGCTGTCACCATGCTCGAAAAATGTGTTTAAATTCTTGGAGTTACATATTGCTGTGGGCTTCTTAATACCTTCATCACAACTTTGATGACAAATTCTTTCGCCATGGTAGCATTTGCATCGTTGACAATCTGTTAGCCAATAATTTTCTGTTTTGGTGACTTCAGTGCAATTTGGCTCCTTATGGCACTCATAATGACCACAACAGTGACCTGGTGTTTCCATTGACTCTGGTATTAGTTCGATAACGACTTCTTCAACGCTATGGCAATCTGGTATATAACAAGTTTTACACAAGCATTTCTTCGACAGACAACATTGTGCATATAACTCGTCTTCGACATCAGTTATATTATGTGGTTCTTCGGTGCTGCCAGATGGTGGCAAGATATCGTTATTATTCATATCCAAATTTTCGCGTACAAAGCTGTCTTCTGGGCAAGTAATCTCCGAAAGTGGAGGGCATTTAATATTATCGCAAGGATGTGGCAAGATATCTTCTGTAAGAATAGAAAAAAAAATGTAAGTAGAGAAATATATGTGAGTAAAATTATATTATTTAAATTTTTTTTATAATCGCTTATACATATAAAAAACAATAATAATGATATATAATGTAAAAATAATATGGAAAAAAAAAATTTTATAGCTTATAATTTCATAACATTTTACAATAAGATTTTGAGCTATTTTGTTCGTAGTTTCTTACCCATGAATATAAATCTTACCAACTTACTGGGATTTGTAGGCGTGAATAAGAAGTTGCAACATTATCCTTATTCTCAAGCTAATGAATGAAAGTACTATATTCACTACTTGTAGTTGGGTTTATCAGCGCTCGATAAACCTCGTTTCTAAGTTCACGATTCTATTCATAGTTGTCTTGCGTACTAGCCGGACATTGCTGACAAGCTATTTTAAATAATAATATAGAAGTCGTAAGCAACTAAAGTAACTACTTAGGACTACAATACAAGCTTTAAGAAGGGTTTAATATATCACATGAAATCAAGCCAAGAGAGATATTACTTAGCTTGGTGTTCTTAATGCCAAATACTACAACTGCCAATAGGCCTGGAGAAAGTGACTATTTGAAGTTAATATTTGCAAATTTACAACTAATACAAATCATTTATAGATTCATAAATAATAAATAAATAAATAATTCTGTAATTTTTTGGAATCGTTAACATCTTATTTATCGGCTTTATTTATAAGCATTCATACTTCTGCAAAAAGGGTACGATTAATTGCGCACACATATGCATCCACTTCAATAGTGTTCGATCAATTGGAAAAATTAAGACCAATAACTTCACAGAAACATTTTTATTTACTAAAATGCTTTTGTTGCCAATTAGGCTCTTAACTTGTTTCTATTATTCAGCAATTTTTTCCTATACTCAATTTTTTTTTATTTCGCACATCACACTTAATTTAGGTCATATATATCCTGATTTTGTTACTACGGTCTCATTACATACAAATTACCGGAAGTACGAAATTCAAATGAACGAAAGTAATTGATTTTGTTCATCCAACCACATCGAATTACCATTAAAGTCTATGGCAACAACACCAGCACAGAGCACCGAAAATATCATCAATAACCACTAATGATGGGCGTCATGTTGGCAAAAATTTATCGATAAAACTGGAATCGCAATTCTTCTTGGTAAAATTACAGATGATGAGAATGCCAAAATATGTATTGGTATTCAATTCCCCGAATTCGACGGTGTTTTATCGGTGCTTTCGACCATGTCCATGTACTATTCTAGTTCCATGCTGTTAAGTTAATCAAACAAAAAGCTTTTGATGAATCCACATTGGCAACTTGAGAAGCTCATTGAGGGCAGAATTGTTGGTTTAAGAGCCAAGTGGAATTGTCAGCAGAAAATACTGAATTATTAATGCTGCCAAATGACAGCAACAAATGAGAATAGATAAAAACAAAAGAAGCGTTTAATGTGAGCGAGCAGCTCAAGTCAGTAGGAAAATTATAAGTTGAGTGGTCTAAGGTGGTTAAAAGAAAGTAGTTAAGCAATATTGAATGTATTAGAGTTAGTATTAAAATTTTTAAAAAAAATTTTCTAAAATAATATAAAAGAAAAGTATAAGTTTATAACTCTAAATAAAGAAATAAAAAAATGGCTTTTATAGTTTGATTATTATTTTTATTATTATTATTTCATTATTATTATATTTCATTATTATTATTTTATTATTATTTTATTTTAATTTTTTATAACATATATATATATGTCTATACATATTTATGTCAGAAGCTAATTGAGATGACAAGCATTAACACATTGTTGTTCTTTTTCACTTTTTGAGACAGTGGATATGAAACTATATGTATATATCGAACGAAGTAAATTTTGCAACAACAATGGTGTTGTCTTGTGTAATATATGAGTTCTTTGGTATGTCGTATGCAGTTAATTTTTTTAACTGCATACAACAAATATAACGCTACACTCCATTTTTGATTTACAACAGCACTATTGGTGTATAGTGTATATTAATATGACGTTAAGACCGTTCAGTGATATAAATATGTTCTTTAACTGTTTTAATTATGTAAAATAATTAGTCAATTAATTAATATAATATAAAAGAATTTTTGTTGTTGTAGTTCACTAATTTTCGAAAACCTTTTCAAATTAAAATTACTAAATAAAATTGTTTAAAAACTTATTTTTTAATTTCTTTGTCAAATTATTCAAAAACATAATAAAATTTATAGGTTTAATAATTTGACTACATACTATAGAAGTATTATTGGAGAACATTTACCTTTGGTTATAGTAATTAAAATTCTAATAATGAAATTGTAGTTCTTAACTAAAACTATTTTTTAATATTTATCAAAATTATTTTCATTTAATATAATATACATTTTTCAATTAAAATTTTAGTGTCTACTTTTAAATTTTTTTTCTTTTACGCGAATAAAATGCTTCAGAATTCATTAAAATTCATTCATTAAAAAGATGTGCACTTTTTGTGTCTGATGACAGAAAAAAAGTGATCGGGGTGCAATGCGATGTAGTACGTGCACAAGTGTTGGTATAAAAAAAAATTGCCGCATCACATAAATTAATATTAAAGTTAATCCTTTTGACAGCAGCTGTGACAGATTTGTACAAATACAATAATTTAAGAACAAATGTTGTGTCAACGCACCTGTGTATGTGCTTGTGTGTGCATGCAGAAGCATTTAAGCATTTACGTTGCTTGTGTACGTTTTGCAATATTGAGAATATGTAACGCAGACATGCGTTAAAAATGTCTCCGTTGTGGTTGTATGAATGTGTGTTTATGTGAAGCGCACGCCACAGACAGTTTTTATATAGTTTGCGTGACAAGTTGCGTGTGTAAAAGTTTCATTTTATTTGACACTTAAAAGAATCAAAGTTGAATTTGCAACAAGCGAAAGGAGAAATATGAGAAAAAAATAAAAGAAATAGGCGTAGACACGGTTAAACATGATAGGCAGACATAAATTTGTTTAGTGCTTTTCATAACAATTAAAATTTTTATTTCGCAACGATTTAATTACAAAAAATTATTTTTTAATTGCTAAAGATATTATTAGAAGAATATAAATAGTGTTGAAAAGTGTTATGATTTCCAACACTTTTGGTACTACGTGTAGTATGAGTAACAATTTTTAATAGTTTAAATATATTTTTAGAAAAATATATATAATGTTGGTAAGTATTCCGATTTTCAACACTTTTGATACTACGTGTAGTATGAGTAATAATTTAATAAAATTTAGAAGATTTTTGTTACGAAATTTTACTAAATGTATATTATTTATATTTACTTATAACTAAAACAAATGCTATTTTGTATTCAACTATATTTTTAATTTGGAGCAATGTTTCAGCTAAGCTTGCAAAAAATCATATTATAAATGCGATTGTTTAAAAATTTGTCAGCATATGTGTTCAATTACAAAAGTTAAAAAAGACTTTTGTTGCATTATTTTTATAATCGAAGGTTTATTTTCTATTTGTTTTTGAGTTTTTAAATTTTTGCATTCAAAGCAATTTTATATGCTTCCACTAAAACAACAGCCAATGTCATAAAACACCATACACTCAAAACACTAAAATATAGAATGAGCCCGTAATTTATCAAATTGTATTAACAAAAACAAATAAAAACACTCAACACAAAAAACCGCAGAATTGCAATTTTTGATATAAACAAAAAATAAATGAAAATAAAACATTAAAAGATGAACTCAAATTTCAATTTGAATTCAACTGAATTTGAAGTACGAAAAAGGGCAAAAACTCCAGCGAACACATTAACATTAATGTTCATTTTATTATTATTATTCTTCGTCTACCAAAATAAAAGCAATATTAACCAAAACATAAGCGCACGTATGTAATAAAACCAAAAACAACAAAATTCTAACAATAAGCAAAAACAACTATGGCTGATTGTTGTTTTTGTTGTGTTGTTGTTGTTGTTTTGTTGTAGCTGGTTACTTGCTTATGTCCAAATGCAGCCACATAAATAATTTATTTTATGTTTATTTACAATAGACTTTTGGCTGAGCTTTTTTTATGTGCAGCCATTTCATTTCATTATTTAACGTAGTTGTTAATGGTTTTGTATTTTGTGTGCGTGTGTGTGTGTGTGTGTGTATGTCAGTGTGCTTACGTTCCTTTTGTTATTGTTTAAGTAAACAGCATGAAAAACGAGTGCATGTGACATGTGTCAAAAGTGACAGTTGATAAAATAACACGTGAGGAACCTTGCAGTCACATTTTAAAGGTTAAAGGAATATAAAATTGAACTGTTTTGTTTAATAATCTGAAGTGCGTTTAAAAGGTTTCGTTACAATTTCTTGTTTTACCTTAATCAATCACTTCATTATTATGTATAATAAATTATATTAATATAAGTATAGCATAATGAATAGATTTATTTTTACTTTCGGTAAAATGTTAAAAAAACTTAAAACTCCAACTACTTCTGCCAAAAAAATATTATGGTGTAAGAACTCTCCTTGATGTTTGATTTCATAATAATATCTGAAAAATCAAATAAATGACAATTATCTGATTATTTTTATCATTATTTTATTCCTGGAAGTAGTTAATTTTTTCTTATAGATTTATTCAGATTTATTCTTATTAAAAGTTTGAAAAATATACTCTGCTTGTCTTATTATAAGTATCTTTCTTTTAGTTTGCAGTTAATATATTGTATTTTGATCAATTATACTATATCTTGTTGAAAAATTGTAGCAGGTAGGGCGCTGTACAGTAAAATGGTAGGTGCAAAAAAAGCAAAAAAGATTAATTTTTGTACATTGTATGCAGAACTGATCGAAACTTTTCAAAGAAATCAAGTTTGATTCACATTAACTTTCGAACCGATTTAAGAGCATTAATATACCATGTCCTGCTTAGACCTGGTTGGCCCAAGCAAACGTGGAAGCGAACACTAGAAAAGAAATCCACGCAAG